CGGGAGCAACGCCGAGGGCTGCAATCCCGTTGCCAGTCCCCGGTCCGGTACGGGGGCAACACTGAGGGTTGCGATCCGTTGCCGGACACGGAAAAAGACAAAAAAAAAAAAAAAAAAGTGGTATTTTTCTTGTGGTTGCACCATGTACGTGAACCAAATCAAAACTCAGCTCACATCAACCATGTCTTTTCTCTAGGACACAGCCCCATCTCATCTCAGAGCTCACTGACAACTTTGGCAGCAGCTTGGAGGGGGTAGGAAAGATTTGCCAATTGGCTGTACTCTCTAGTTACTGTTTCAACCTGAGGAACTGCTCTGCATTGGCGCTGTTAATCTGTTTAATTATCACTTTCTTGGAGAGGTTTCAGACCCTGTTCTAGGTTAGGCCTCTGTTATGGGCTAAATTTGGTCCACCCAAAATTAATATATTGAAGCCCTAACCCACAATGTCACTGTATTTGGAGACAGAGCCTTTAAGGAGGTAATTAAGGTTAAATGAGGTCGTAAGGGTAGGGCCCTAATCAGGTAAGGAAGACACCAAAGCTGGCTCTCTCCCCTCTCCCATCCTTCCCTGCATACCCACAAAGAAAAGGTCATGTGAGTACACAGTAAGGTGACCATTCACAAGCCAAAAAGAGAGGTATAACCAGAAATGAATCCTGACAGCCCTTGATCTTGAACTTCCAGCCTCCAGAACTGTGTGAAAATACATTTGTTTAAGCCACTCAGTCTGTTATCTTGTTATGGCAGCTTGAGGTGACTAATACAGCCTCCCAGTTCTAGCATAAGGAACTTCATTTCTCCAAACACATTCTTCTTTTTCCCTTTAGATTACAAGGGCTGTTTTTATACCATGCATTTCTAGCACGGGATCCATGGCTTCTGGCATAATGCATGGTACACAGAACTCAGTATTTAGTAAGTGAAATTAATTTCAAGTCCTCCAAATTGGGAGAGGGAAAAAAGAAGAAAAGTAAAGGTGAGATAAGAAATAAGCGCTGTGGAGGAAAAATGGCTCATGCAATGAGATTGGAAATAACTTTCACCATTAAGTACCAAAAGCCCCGAATAATTTATCTGATCTTAATCTTTTTTGTTCTACACAATTAGCATTTCATTTGCTTTCCTATATTCTATCTACAAAATTTGATTATGCTGACATAGGAAATTTGATTGTTTTATAATTGTCCTCCATCCCCACAAACTGCAAATGCCTTGCACTCATGGGGCTTGTAAATCCTGCTGAATCTTCTTAGTACCTAGCCCAATACTAGACATAGTAGGTATTCAGTAAAGTTATGTTAATTTAATGACAAATGTCTGAATTTCAGTAGTTTCCCTTTGATCCAAAGGAATAGGCTTATATTCCAATTGTCCTTCGACAGAGAGCTAAGAATTCTTCAGGAATCATGTTCATAGATTCAAGGACAATTCTTTTCACTTAGGGGAAAAAATGAAACACTATCTATCTTAAGGATACCCAAAATGGAATCTTAGCCACTTCATGTTTTTTCAATGCACTGATGGTGACTTTTGCCAATGCTACCTGGTCCTCACTGTCCAGAATAAACTAGTAACAAGGTATTGACTTCTGGGCTGGCCTCTTTATGCAGACTTCTTTCCAAGGACCCTACCTGGTACACAACAGGTACTTGAGAAATGTTGAAAGAACTAACTTCAAAAGACTACTTTCTAACAAGAATTCAGAACTGAATAGTTTTTTAATGACCTTTCCTGGTAAGTATTTAGTGAATAAATGGTTATAGACCTATTTTATGATAGCCAAAAAGCTGCCGCTAAATTCCCTTGTGTGCACAAACACATTATTAAATCAAAACATAAAAACTTCAAAAGTCTAAAAGTTTATTGCCAGGATAGCAAACTTTATAAAGACACCTTTTTTAAAGTACATAGGAAATGACAAGCAAAACAATCAGAAAACTTTGACCAAAGAAAAGCAAAGATTGCTGCCATCATGCACATACAAGTATAGTCAAATTAATACCAAACAAGTACATTAAAGAGTATATAGGTTACACAATCCACATCCTAAAACTAATGGAGACTCATTCCAAAATGTTTGGGTTTAGGGTGGGTGTTTTTTGCAGGGTATGGGGTGGGGGTGGGGTAAGGTAATTTTCTCCTAACACAGAAAATGAAAATATTTAGATGAAAAACAGAATGAAGACTAAAATATCAGTGATCAATTTTTTATCTCCAAGAATAGAAATATGTGTTATAAGCCAAAACAAAGTTCAAGAAGAATTGATAAAATATCTAAACACAAGAAAATTTTCTAAATTCAATTTGTGCTATCCTTACAACTGATGACCACTTCATATACACTACAT